ATGTCCAGGTCTGCAAAGCTGTGGGGGACAGCTCCAGATGGGTGTCCCCCCCCCCCCCTCTCTCCCACAGTTCCCTGCTGGTCAATGAGGCTTCCAATCAGAATAAAGAGCAAAAATTAATGGTGAGAGGGGTAGAACCCAGCTTTATTTCATTTCCAAATAACTTTAGCTGCCTATTTCTCCAGATCTGCTGGTCCATATCTAAAGCCAGACACACACGTTACAATGTGATTGCACAATATCCCTTAGTTTTTGGAACAACTATGCAGTGTAAGCCTAGCTGACTGCAGATGAATTGCATTGCTTTGGTGGGTCCTGAAACTACAGTTATGGCTAAAGCTAAAGAAGATTGTCCTTTCAGATTGCAATGCATTTGGATAGCTTACCAAAAATGTACACAGACTTCTCTAGCTCTCCCCCCCTGCTAGCAGTTTAGCACCGGGCCTGTCGGGAACACCACAACAGAGGCATCTACAGAATTTAACTCTAGTGGTAAATGAGTTTGGCTATTATTGGCCAGCAGGGTGGCTTCCTTCACCATGCAGGAGTGACCGGTACACTTGACACCTAGTTGGCTTACACAGCATGCGGCCTCCTCACGGTCTCTTACCTCGCCTGCCGTGTTTGCACACATGTGGAGGACAAGGAATGAGCTTATACAGCGGGTGTTCAGCATATGTCAGGCAGAGGCTCAGCTGTAATTATCAACTTTTCAACAAGTAGCTGGGACAGATTTATAACCAAACAATTAGGAGAAGCCTGCTCATAGACAGGACTGCATATATATATATATATATATAGATGGAGAGAAGGAAGGAGAGAGAGAGAGGGAGAAAGAGAGGAGAGAGAGAGAAAGAGAGGAGAGAAAGAGAGAGAAGGAAGGAGACAGAGAGAGAGAGAAGGAAGGAGAGACAGAGAGAGAGAGAAGGAAGGAGACAGAGAGAGAGAGAAGGAAGGAGAGACAGAGAGAGAGAAGGAAGGAGAGACAGAGAGAGAGAGGGAAGGAGAGACAGAGAGAGAAGGAAGGAGAGAGAGAAGGAAGGAGAGAGAGAGAGAGAGAGAGAGAGAAGGAAGGAGAGAGAGAGAGAGTGAAGGAGAGAGAGAGAGAGAAGGAGGGAGAGAGAGAAGGAAGGAGAGAGAGAGAGAGAAGGAAGGAGAGAGAGAAGGAAGGAGAGAGAGAGAGAGAAGGAAGGAGAGAGAGGAGAGAAGAGGACAGGAGGGAGGGAGAGAGAGAGAGAGAGAGAGAGAGAGAGAGAGAGAGAGAATGAATGAGAGAGAATGGCTATAGACAGTGATAGACTTGGAGCTACAGATTGTTAAAAGGAATAGAGAGGGATACAATGAATGAATAAATAGAAAGAAATGGCCCCCAACTACCGGTGGCCCTGTAAGGGGTCCTTAATGTTGGTAGTCGCAGACTGGCTTCCTGATCATTTAATTGCTATGATTGGGCGATACAGAGGTCACATGAGAGTCTCTGTGCAAAGTCTATGGTGGGCTGTGCAGGGACTCCAGTGTGCTGTGCATGGTCTATGGTGGCTTTTGCAGGGTTTTATGGTGGTCTTAGCCTGAGACTCTGCAGAGCCCACCAGAGATCCTTTACAGCCCACCTGAGACCCCGGCTTCCCTGCTACTGAGAGAGAGAGAGAGAGAGAGAGAGAGAGAGAGAGAGAGAATGAATGAGAGAGAATGGCTATAGACAGTGATAGACTTGGAGCTACAGATTGTTAAAAGGAATAGAGAGGGATACAATGAATGAATAAATAGAAAGAAATGGCCCCCAACTACCGGTGGCCCTGTAAGGGGTCCTTAATGTTGGTAGTCGCAGACTGGCTTCCTGATCATTTAATTGCTATGATTGGGCGATACAGAGGTCACATGAGAGTCTCTGTGCAAAGTCTATGGTGGGCTGTGCAGGGACTCCAGTGTGCTGTGCATGGTCTATGGTGGCTTTTGCAGGGTTTTATGGTGGTCTTAGCCTGAGACTCTGCAGAGCCCACCAGAGATCCTTTACAGCCCACCTGAGACCCCGGCTTCCCTGCTACGCTAATAGCGCAACCTGTCAAAAGCTGTATCCAGCGACTGACAGGTTATTCAAAATGTCTTAAACAGAAAGGGGTGGGACAAATTTAGATTGGGGAGGGGTGGGGGTGCCGAGTTTCGGCTTGCATAGGGCAGCATGAAACCTAAATACACCACTGCACATATAAGTGGTGGCTCAACCTGCTGTGCTGCCACATATATGTGTTATGCTGATGGGATCAGGTTAAATCTGTCAAAGTCATGTGACTGGCCTCTCCTTTAAAGGTGCCCATAAAACCTTACAATTATCTGCAGATTTTCTGTGGTCAGATGGAAAAAGTGCAACAGATTGGCCCAGGTGAAGATTACTCCATCCACACAGTTTAGTGTATGTGGAGGAATCTGTTGCACCTTTTCCATCTGACCACAGAAAATCTGCAGATAATTGTAAGGTGTATGGGCAGCTTAAAGGAGAACTATGAGGTGAGTGCTTTTCACTCGCCTCATAGTTCTAGCCGACCAGTGACAATGAGACTGTCACAGGTCGGCTCAGTAGATCGGGAGGTGAGCGAACACATACCGGCGTTCGCTCACTTCTCGATCCTGTCACGGCTCTCTGCCGTGACAGGGGAGGGACTGGATTCCCCTCTCTCCGCTCCGATCCGCCAGCGCTGACTGGCGGAACGGACGGGGGAGGGGGCGGGTACAGCTGGCTCTGCCTCTAGATTGACAGTGCAGCTGCGGCGTCTCAGTATACCACGAGCTACAGCTCCCGGTATACTGAGCTTAGGGTGACGGGAGGACGCTAGTTTGTGTCCTCCCGTTACCCTAAGGAGAACTATGGGGAAAAGCCTTAACCCCATAGTTCTCCTTTAAATCACATTGTTCTATGAAGTGGGACTCCACGGGGCACTCCAGACTCCACGCTGTGGCCTGCTTTTTATCAATGGCTGATAGAATGCAGTGTCCAATGGAGAGCAATATCTGCTCTCCATTATAAACAGGCCCCTTACAGAGAGATTGCACAATAGTTAATAAACTGTAACTGACT